AGTAAGGCTCAGGTTACAGTGGATCTTTGAGCCAAGGTAAGAGGATTTGAATGTCATCCTCTTAGTAATGGGGGTGCAAAGGTTGAAGGGTTTGAAGCACAGGAAAGTGGGACATGATTGTATTATACATTTCAGATCAAAATGATGTCAGTGTAGAGAACAGCTCCAGGGAAAGTAGCGTAGAGGGGAGGGGCAGTGAAGATGTGAAGGCAATTTAGGAGGTTGTAGCAGTGGCCTGAACTAGGGTAGGTGACAATAGGTACAGAGAAGTTGAATAAGATATAGTCCACATGGTTTAATGATTTATGTTTCCTTATTAATTTTCATTAGTTATTTGCAATTCAACTCAATTTTCTGCTGACCCGAGTCAACATCAGAAGTCATACTTAATTGACATCATCAACAAGCACCTAGAGGCTTCCACTTTTTCTTCTAATCTCACATTATCTCTCAACCTTCAGGGCTCCTAAAGCCTCCCACTTTGCCCTTTGTATCTCAAAGCCTGTCATTTTGAATTCATGTTTCCCTTCTTGCTCTATGGAAACTTAATGTTCTTTGAAGGTTTTACTTTTCTGGTATCTTCTTCCTTTAGAATCTTCCAGCTCTTTTTAAACATTTCTGTGCATTTCTCCTAGTTGGTCTTAACTATAGGTTTTCTTGTCTCTCCCACTGATTCATTGAAGGCATTAGAACTTGAGTTACTTTGGTCTTTCCCATCACTATTTCTGGTACTATTCCATATCTGCCTCCTAAGGGTTCTTGACCTGGATTTCATGGACAACCAAAGGCTTTGTGATAGAATTTATGATGCCCTTGAATCCTTGAACTTGAATAGGAGAATATTAAATTTTTATTTTCATTAACCATTAAATGAAATTTAGTATTTTTAAAACTTATGAATAAAAGTTTTACACCATAGGATTTGGCCTGTTACTTTATCAACATAGAAATCACATATATTTTCAAAATATTGTAGTTATTGAAGATATTTCAAAATATGGTTTATATACAACACTATCGAAATTAGACTTTGTTATTTCTTGTTATGAACTGTATTTGTGGAGATGAATATATATTACAATTAGTTTTTAGTATTTTCATAACCCCATTTTATTTGTTTTTCTTTATATTTGTATATGCTTTAGGCACTTACAAGTGGCTATATGAGGATCTTTGTATTAATCATCTGTTGCTAAATAGTAAATTTCCCCAAACTTAGTATCTTATAGTAGTAATAAATACTTAACATTTCATAGTTTTTGGGGTCAAAAATTCAGATGCAGCTTAGCAGGATGGTTTCTGACTGAGGTCTCAGTACCTGGCTCAGGCCACAATTATGTGAAGCCTTCATGGGGCTGTAGATCCCCTTTCCAGGGAGACTCACCTGTGCCTGGTAAGCAGGTGCCAGTTGCTGTTGGGAGGCCTGTTTTCCCCTCTGCAGCATCTCTGCAGCGCTTGGCTGTAGAAGACATATTTCATGTTGTAACTTATTTGTAAGCAATTGAAAGAAAATTTTTTTAAATTGACATTTATTTATTTTTAAAAAAATTATTGAATTTTTATATTTGTATGTACTTATTAAAAAATTATGGTTTACATTCAATATTATTGGATTAGTTTCAGTTGTACAGCACAGACAATTATATACTTCATAAAGTGTTCCCCCTAGATAGATTATAAGAGCCTGATTTTTAAAGTTAATTTTATTTAAACTGTCACTATTGATTATCAGTATGAGATAATACTCAGTAGTAGGGTGTTCATTTAACTTCCCCTGAAGATAAGTGATACTAATTTATAAAACTCAGTACACTCCTGACGCAGATGTAGCCATACTAATTAAGTATGGTATACTACTGTCATCACCTTTGTGGCGGGGTTCAGGATCTGAAGGAGGGGCTGATGCACAAATAAAAATACAATACAAGACATATGAATTTAGAAGGCATGTCTTTTGGTTAGAAGGCATTGGGGGCCAGATGGAGTCTCTTTCTAGAAGAGACAATGACTTCTGGCCTCATCCGATAGCTATTTATTTACTTGCATACACATTTTTCCTTTAGCAACACACACACAGGCATATCAAAGGTAGGTTTGGTAAACAGTAAAAGGATTATAGGATTAGGGTGTTTCCTTGAGTCATCAGTATCTCGACAAGAAAAATTGATGCTTAGCATCAGCCCTGCCAGCACCCATGATCCGTAGACCTTCCAAGTTCCTGGGTGCACTCTTGTGACAGTATTGGCAAGTAGTGGCTTCCTGCATACTACCTACAAATATCAATAGCATTATGATCAACCTAGAGGCCTGGTGCACGAAATTTGTGCACAGGTAGGGTCCCTATGCCTGGCTGGCGATCAGGGTCAATCTGTGGGGCGACTAGTGGAGTGATTGGGGACCTCTGCTGGCACCTGCCATGGCTGATCTGGAGCTGCCTGCTTGCCAGCCCCACCCCAACTGCCACCATCGCTTTTGGACCTGTGGGCTGGGGGCAGCTCCTGCGTTGAGTGTCTGTCCCCTGGTGGTCAGTGTGTGTCATAGTGAACGGTTCCACTGTTCGGTCGATTTGCATATTAGGCTTTCATTATATAGGACTAGAGGCCTGATGTGCAAAATTCATGCATGGGAAGTTGCCCTGAGCCCAGCCTGTATCCTCTTCAATATGGGACCCCTCGGGGAATGTCCAGCTGATGGTCAGACATCTCTCTCACATTCTGGGATCACTGACTCCTAACTCCTTATCTGCCCGCCTTCCTGATTGCCCGCCTGATTGCCCATAACTGCCCCTTCTGCTGGCCTGGTCAGTCCCAACTGCCCCCCCTCCCCCTTGATGGCCTGGTTGCCCCCAATTGGCCCTCCCACTTGCCTGGTCACCCCTAACTGCCCATCCACGCTGGCCTGGTTGCCCCCAACTCCCTCCCTCCTACTATCTCCCCCACCCCTCGCTAGCCTGGTCGCCCCACATAGCCTGCTGTTCAATCATTTGGTCATCCCTCACTAACCCCCCTGCTGGCTTGGTCACCCCACACAGCCTGCTTGTTGTCATTTGGTCATCCCTCACCCCCCTGCTGGCCTGGTTGTCCCACACAGCCTGTTTGGTCATCCATTCAGTTGTTTTGGTTGTGACAGTCATTTAGATTTTTATATATATAGATTTTTCTCAGTCTTCTATGTGTTTAACCAATTCTCCAACACACGCACATTGTTTGTGTACTTCATCTACTTGGGTTGTGTTTATAGCTTACCTTTAAGACAAGAATTTTATGTCAAATTAAAAGTAGCTACACAATCAAATTATAAAAAACACATATTCACAGCCAAATTGTCAAATACAAAATAGCAACCACTTAAAATCAGTATGATGGGGATTTCTATTGTGTTTTTATGTACAAAAGTATTTTAAAAGTTTGCTTTTATGTTCTATTTAGCCTTGCTTTAAGAAAATTGTGCAATTCTATAAAAGATAAATTAGTGATTTTTTTTCTTCATTTATAAGTGGAGACATCATATCCTTTAAAAATAAAATTTCTTTAGAACATTTAAAATGATTTGATAATAAAATTCACTTTGCACCTAGCTTTGTAATAATTCTTGATTACGTGGCATCTACCTATAGTGCTCAGTAGAGCATCACAAACCTGGGAACACTTACGTTAAGCCTGAGGTGTTCCACAAATTCAACTTGCTGCTCTAGTGTAGGAGGAAGGATTGTATTTATTTTTTTCCTATGGCTCCTTTCTTATTTTGTCTTTCATGCCTTCTACTCAGGGAAAATAGATAAAAGCATTGTAATGAAATTACGAAACACTGATCTTTTGTATCTCATATTACTGTTTGGACTTTGAAGATTTGGAAGCTAGAAGAGGGATATGCTAATTTTTCCTATCTTGCTGTAGCTTGCTATGCTAGTGGTAATGTGCAAATTTGTTTTCCACTTGGATAAAATCCAACCATCCCCAGAGTGTAAGTGCTAAGCCTACGGGGGAGGTGTGCTAATTCTATTTTCTTGTTATTATGTAAATTCTGATATTGTTTATTGATATAAATGTAGTTCCACTAAAACATAATAGGTTGATTTTCCCCCCCCTTTACACTACTTTGTATGCCAAATACTATGAAATTTTTATTTATAAATGGTTTGGAGCTTGTCTTTTATTATGTAGAGATGCAGTTTCCTCTTTGTAAGGATTACACAAATACATTCAGACTGATGCTACAGTTCAAGCTCTTAGCACAATTCCTAACTTATAGGAGAGATTCAGTAAATATTAGCTATTGCCATTTTTATGACAGATTTTTATTTAAGAAATTTTTTTGTCTTTTGGTGAGAAATAAAATTTTTTATTTCTTCCACCACTGATGGAACAAACCATCAAGTTTTATAATCACAAATCAGCTTGTGAATTGCTTAAGCTTATTATTCCCATTCATTGACATGTTTACATTTATAATATTGTTGCTGTATTAATGATGTTTTGCTTAATTTCATGCCATATATTTAGCATCATAATCAAGTTACACTTTTGTGATGTGGGAAGGAGTCAGCATAGTTTTTATACTGAGGAATCAATATCATTTATGTAGAAGGGATGGCAATGAAGAGAAGACAGGCAGACAACTAGTTTAATTTCTTAAACTTGAGGCCTGGTGCATGAAATTCGTGCACTGGTTGGGGGCTGTCCCTCAGCCCAGCCTGCACCCTCTCCAATCTGGGACCCTTCAGAGGATGTCCGACTGCCGGTTTGGACATTTCTCTCACAATCTGGTTTACAGAATGGTTACTGTAAACTTCTTATTAACACACACACACACACACACACACATAGATAAAAATATATATTAAAAATATATTTAATCTTAAAGATTACAGTGCTGAATATCTCTTGATGAAACCAAATTGATAATGTGTTTGACCTTGTTTGCTTATTTGTTTTGGGGATTACATAAATATTGAGAAGGAAATATTTACATATGTGCCATTTTATTATTTATTTTTGTAGCTGGACAGATTTGCCAGCATAAAAATTCCGGGGAGCAAGAAAGAGAGGCCTCCACTTTCCAACCTGAAAACTGCATTTGCAAGCAGTGATTGTTCTTCAGAGGCGATGGAAAACCCTCCGAAGCCACTGTCAGAGAAGGAAGTCTTAGAACTTTTTGAAAAGATGATGGTAAGAATTTTGATTCTTATGAAATGTTTGATGTGAAAGCCTTCACTTTTGGTTATGTGTTAGGAACACTAACATATTTGTACTCGTGTTCCATAGAGCGGTTTCTGAAGTCATTTAAGATAGCACTTTAGGCATAGAAGGAGCTTTACGATTATAAAAATAAGAATGTGAAGAAAAATGTCATACCAGTATTTTGTTTTACACAAGATATATAAAAACATAATACTTAAAGAATCAAATGACATATTTTTATCTTGCCTAGATTGTCTAAGTGGTCTGTCTGGATTCAGTTGCGTTTTAGAGTGATGGCCATAGTGCTCTGCTGTGGGCATTATGTTCTTAGGTGTGATGCTTTGTTTTATTTTTTTCTTAGTCCTCAGGATAGCCAGGTCCTTATAGACCTGCCTTTGGTATATCTGTAGATACTTGAACTCACTCATTTTGGAGTGTGCCTGTTCTGGAGGTGACACCTGAGGCCATTAGTGGCTTTCTTCAGTTGGTTCTTTATTTTAAATATATATTATTTGTTGATTTCAGAGAGAGAGAGAGAGAGAGTAGAAATGTCAGTGATGAGAGAGAATCATTGATGGGCTTCCTGCATGCTCCCTACTGGGTATTGAGCCTGCAATCCCGGCATTTGCCTGTGCTGAGCTGGCATGGCCATAGCATACTCAGCCCCATGATGGGCACCATATGTACCGAGCCAGCTCAGCCAGGTTTGGTGTACTTGAGAGGGAGCAGTGAAGGATTGAGAAAAGATAGACAAGAGAAAAAAATTGGTTCTGGGTGGTATGCTGTCCTCTCTGATAGAGATCTAGCAACACCGCCACAGCCTGAAAGCCCAGTCTTTATTTTATAGCCAGTTTCCACTAGGCAAATAAGGGTGTGGTTACAGCGTTCTCATGAGTTTCAAATCTACTCAGTTATATGCACCTGATCAAGTTTATTTACTTGCTGCACCTCCAGCAGCCTATATCACTCGGCCACATGGAACCACAGATTTGGACCATAGATTCAAGATTACAACTATTGCCTTGGCTTTGCCAAAAGAGGACCGTGCCCTCTCACTAGTCCAGGGCTTGAACCTGTCCGAACACTGTGGCCTCTCTCCATGTGTGCCCTGATCAGGGATCAAAACTTGACTTCCTGGTTCAGAGGTTGACGCTCAACCACTGAGCCACACCATCCAGGGCCAGTTGGTTCTAAGTGATAGGGATTCTCTGACAGACTCAGCTGGCTTTCAAGCTGGTTGAACTCACTTGACCAACAACCCACAGGTTAAGTATATTCAAACCATTTACCACAAGTGAATAATATTTTATATAAATGGATTGTTTACATATATAGTTTCTACTCTCATGTTGCTTATCTCTTAGGATTCAAAACAAACAATTGAAAAATTAAATGAGCAAAAACTTCTAGAAGGTAGTATTTTCTGATTAAGTTACTTATTAGCTCAGAATAAAAACAAACTACTTTCGTTTTTGAGCTACCTCGTAAGCTTCAGGAGAAACCAAAATGGAAGGGAAATCGTAGTACAGACAGTCCTTGGGTTATGTTGGACTCCACATACCGTATTTTTCGGACCATAAGACGCTCCGGACCATAAGACGCACCAGTTTTTAGAGAAGGGAAATGAAGAAAAAAAGATTCTGAAACAAATAGTGTCCTAAAATATTTTATGTGCATTAAAACCCAACATCACAGTCATAAACACATGTAATCAACCCTGTAAAGTAAACAGCAGCATTTAGAACCATTTTAGAGCTGGGCAAGCACACAGAGACCACACAGAGCCGGGCAAGTAAAAAAACTTTTTTTTTAAAGTATATGTGTAGGCTATATTTGGACTATAAGACGCAGGGACTTTTCCCCCCCACTTCTGGGGGAAAAAAAGTGCGTCTTATGGTCCGAAAAATACGGTATGTTGTTTTGTGATTACCTCGCCATCACCCATTTATTTATTAAAAAAAAAATTCTGTCATTTTGATGTATGTACGTATGTACTTTATGTTTTTTTTATTATTTATTTACCACAAGTAAAGGTCAGGAATTGTTATAATTTTTTTTTACTGTTCATTTCATTACTGCTGCATATGTGCTCCATGTGAGTGACATAGATTAGGGGTGTCGAACTCAATCAGAGAAGGGGCCAAAATCTAAAATCCAGCCTAAATCGCGGGCCGAATGGTTTACTGAACAGTCATAAACTGTCATTGTGATGGAAATGCAGCGGAGTGCAGTGATGACAGCAAGGTGCGGGCCACATTGCAAGGCCTGGCGGGACGGATTTGGCCCTCGGGCCTTGTGTTTGACACATGTGACATAGATGCTTATGTAGGTGGGTTCCGACTTTCAGTGAAAATCACATTACATCGCACCGCAGGAACAGATCTCCGATGTATGAGGACCTACTGTAGCTTAGGGAAATTTAGCAGAGAAAAGTCTTAACTCAGGACAGGATTAAGATACAGAGGGAAGAGTATTCTTTTGTCATGGGAAACAGCAGTGAGCAAAGACAGAGGTAGGTTTCAAATAATTCATGACGTGAGAAGTTGGGAAAATTAGACTGGAATGATTATGACAGTTTATGAAATGATTTTGTATGCCATTCTGAGGATTAGTATATTGTTTCAGCATCATGATTTATTTTCTATTTGTCAATTTCACCTATTGGTTTTGACAGCCTTATTTAGTTTAGGGGGAAATTATTGCAATCACCTATTCAAATTAGCATGTAACATGTGCTTGGAATTTGAGAAAATATTCAGCCAGAATCAGCATATGTACTTGCCATTATACTGCCTTATTTTCTTTTTATCAACAAGTATTTGTGTTCAGTGTTGCTCCTGAACTTTCAGAAGACCCCAGAAGGAAAGACTGCCTAGTTTGTGTCTTCGTGGGATTTTTAATTTATAATGGAGATTCTTAACTTTTCATTGTTGAACATACAGTTATTAGTATTGCTTTGTATGGAGCCTACCTAGGCTTGGGAACTTCGTACCTATTTTGTTAGCTCTTGACGAAGTGCTGATTTTGGTTTTAGGTAAACAAATCTGTATACCTTCTTATTAATTCTTGTCATCATGTGTTGATATAATTTCAGCCTAGAACAAGAAAATTTAACTTTTTGTTGTTGTTATTTGTCTTTGCCTCTCTTTATGAGCCTTGTGTTAGGGCTTGTTAGGGTTAGGGTGAGGATTCAAGATGGTAAAGTACCTTTTCTCTCCCCTCATTCCTATATCATATGTGGAACCACTCACCTAAAATCTGTGAGATTCTGGAAGTGTACTTTTTTTGGTTCATGTGTGACTGCCTTGCTAAGATAAACATTATTTTTTTCTTTTTAATCATAATTGCTGGTGCCATCTGAGTTAGTAGAGCCAGTAGGCTATTGATATTGGACAGTTGTGGAGGCCACATTTTATCATCACAAGCCATTAAAAAACTACCTGGAAAGTACTGAATATAGTTTATGGTATTCTATCTGAACATAATTACTTCAGAAGTGTTTTTCTGTTAGTCTTAACCTTCTCCTGCCTAGAGTATCATTTAAAAAAAAATATATATGTATATATTTTATTGATTTTGTACAAAGAGGAAGGGAGAGGGATAGAGAGTTAGAAACATCGATGAGAGAGTCATCGATCAGCTGCCTCTTGCACACCCGCTACTGGGGATATGCCCGCAACCGGAATCGAACCCGGAACCTTTCAGTCCCCAAGCCGACACTCCTATCCATTGAGCCAAACCAGTTTCGGAGAGAGTATCACTTTTAATACTATGTACAGGCCAGATGGCTATTGACATTTCTAAAGTATTTACAGTATACGTATTTAATAATTGGGCCAGATTTCTTGTTACATCTTAAGTCTCCCTTTTCAGAACATTTTTTGCAATCAAATTCACTTTACTGAGCAGAATATTAAACTATGGCTTTCTCAGGCTACCCAACGTGCTAATAAATGAGTTTGTCAGAACTAAGTTCTTTTCTGAAAACGAGGAACTCAAAAACAACCCCATAATCTCAGTGACAGTCCACAGTAGACATTTTTTTCTTAGGGGGAAAGAAGAGGAATAGCCTGGCTTGTGTGGCTCAGTGGATGAGCGTCGACCTATGAACCAAGGAGGTCACAGTTCAATTCCCAGTCAGAGCACATGCTGGGGTTGTGAGCTTGATCCCCAGTGTGGGGCATGCAGTAGGCAGCTGATCAATGATTCTCTGTCATCATTGTCTCTCTCCCCCTCCCTTCCTCTCTGATATCAATAGAAATATATTTAAAAAAAAGAGGAATAGGTTCTTTCCTTTATGACTCCTTGATCCTGCCACAGTGCATTGTAGGAAGATGAGATGCATCTTTTTCCTTCTTTAAATACGGATTAGTGATATTACTCAGGTTTTTTAAGGCACCACATTTTTGACAAATTTAAAGCTGTTTCTTTGTCTATGGAGGATGCAAGATTTAGATCAGGTTTGATTTTTGTTTTGCAGCTTTGGTGGCATTTTTATTAATAAAAATAATTTTGATGAAGCAACAAGCAATAATTTGCAACTTTAACCTTTTGGCATTTGTACCTACAGAGATTCATACCATTTAAAATTTGCATTTAGACCCTTTGTTTTTGCATTGTGCAACTTTAAAGTAATTCTTATTTAACATTATCAAAGGTATTTAAGTGATTTTTACATGAAGTAAAAACTTTGTTTTGAAGAACCTCTTTTCCCTTCTCAAGACAGTCCTTTGAAAGACAGTGTACTGATTTGATTACTTAATGAATGTGAAGTACATGTAGTACTTCAACATGGGTACTCATTTCACTTATTTAGGAAATTGATTTACTTGGTCTCTGGGTAATAATTTCAGTGTGCTTTTTAAAAAAGGAGTAATGAATTTTTAGTTTTACTTCTTAAGGGCTTTTTCTCCTATTTGTCTTTTGGTGGAAACAGAATCTTTACCTGAAAATCCAGATTGGTTTTTCTATGGATCTAGATGTATGAA